AAACAACAGACGACCTAAAAGGCTCCCCTGAGGCACCCCTGAGAGACCCCAGTTCTAACGGTTCACCACTGAGAATAAGTATTGCCAAGTTTAACACGTTGTTTCCTCTCACACAAATATGCAGTCATGAGTTGTAATGCCCTCCCTGAAAAACCATAGGCCGTCAATTTAGCTAGAAGAAGTGAATGACACACTGAGTCGAAAGCCTTGCAAAGATCAACCGCGATTGCAACGACAGCTTCTCGCCTATCGAGACTCGCCCTCCAACCCTTATCATCTTAAGTCGAGCTGAACAACAAGAGTGTCCCCTTAAATGACCAGATAAATTATGAGACAGCTTGCATCGAAAGGCCTCGTACATCTGATCAAACATGACTCTTTCAAAAACTTTGGAAAAAGCAGTCAATAGTGAAACTGGCCGATAGTTAGCCTTGTCGGTCTCTTCCGACTTCTTATATATGGGGGAAACATTGCGACACATTCCAAACCATAGGCCAACTGCAACTTGTTATAAGATAGTTAATCAAACATGTCAGTGGCTGTGCAATGGCGGGAGCTGTGATACGCAATAATCTTTGCGATATGTTATCGCATCCTACAGCTTTCCTTGGATTAAGCTTCAGCAGTATGTCCTTCACATGTTCCGCCTCTATCAGCTGAAAATCAAAATTGCTAGCAGGTCCGAAATGTTCAGCAATCCTCTTGACGCAAGGGTGATCTGTAAATTCATCCACACTCATTTGAGCGCCGTCACTTGCAGCCGCGTCACAAATATAATCATTAAATATCTCAGCACCAAACTTGGGGTCCGTAATCAATTGCTCGTTCTCCAGCAAAACGATCTTGGAATGCGTCTTCGCCTTACTTGGTAGAAGCGGTTTCATTTTCCTCCAGAACTCTCCATGATGCTTTTTATTCAAGGAAGCATCAACACAAAACGACTTCATCCCTTTCCCTTTTAATAAACTTCCTTTGTTTTTCTGTTTACGGTATTCTTCCCAAGAAGAATCAGTTGGATTTCTAGCGTATTTCTTGAATGGTCGATTTCGCCGAGAAATTTCACGTTATAATTCAGGAGTGATCCACGGCAGCTGGTCACCTCTGATCCACTTTTTCTTTAGAGGAGCGTGTTTGTCCACCACCTCGCAGTAAAGCTTCGCCCAGTGATCCCATAGGTCATCAACATCTTCAAAAGTAACATATGGCAATCTGCGGTCTTTCCTTACACTTAGGTAGCAGGGAAAGCCGTAAAAATCTTGAACAAAAGCTCATTATTTCAAACCGGCAGTCTAAATCCCACAGCGATCAACGAACGCTTTTCATTCCACTCATTTATTCTTGTTTTTCTCGTTGCCATGTTCCCACCAATAACGTAGCTCCATTTTCTGGAGTCCTCAAAAAAGCTGTCTGTAAACTGAGGCATACAGCAGGTAAAACAAAGCCATGTGCCGTTCCTACGGAAGCTGTTCAATTCCTTTCTATTCATGCCAGTGCACTTTAAGTGGAAAAGGCCAGTACAACTAGATAGTTTTGCCGCAGCCGGTGCACACACTTTTAGTAGGTTTCTCTCCGCTTCTCTTTCTTTCCACTGTAGGTCCGGGATTTTTTAAAACTTCTCCACTGATGGCAATTCTTGCCAGTTGAAAGCAAGAGTCGCTATTCGGTTAGTAGCTCAGTTTGGCTCCGAGATACCTCGTTCTTGTTTTCACACACGCAGCCTTCGTAGTGAAAATATTCCCCAAAGTACAAGAATATTCGCAGTAGAAAACTGATCCAGTGCTTATTGAAGTTTTCTTCGAGATGTCAATGGAGCTAAATACCAGAATAAGTGTGGCAAGAGGGCTCAGATTATTAAAAGTGGTAGGAACTCTACCACGGCCCGCCATCTTGTCACCTTGATCACTCAATTCTTTAATAACTCGATGTCCACGAACTATGTGGAAGAGGGAAGAATTAAGATATTAATGAAGGAGAGTCACATTGATTAACGTAACTACCTCTCGTTTTCACTTTCTGAAAGGCCGTTTACATGGCAGAAAAGTCGGGTACGGACGTGTCAAAAAAATAGTACGGACCGCATAATTTTAGCCGTTTACGCGGATGATGTTTTATCACGGGTCGGACAAAAAGAGGCATAAAGACCAAGTTAGCAAGGTTGCGTTTANAAGGAAAGACCGCAGATTGCCATATGTTGCTTAGAATGATTAGGTAAATTAAAATGTCTAGCGACTGGTTTCGATGTGTCCTTGTCATTCCTTTCCACGTCTCGAAGGTGTTCTCGGAATCGGTCACCTAGTCTTCTGCCTGTTTCGCCGATGTATATCTTTTTGCAATAAGTGCAAGTTATGCAATAGATTACATTGGCGGAGGTGCACGTGAAGTGATCGGTGATCTTAATGGATCGTTTAGGTCCCGATATTTTATCAGTGTTGTGAATGAAAGGACACGTTTTGCATCGTGCACGAGCGCATTTAAAAGTGCCTGGTTGGTCATTAGTCTGAAAAGAACTTCTGACCAAAAAATTGCCTATGTTTTTGTCGCGTTTGAATGAAATGAGCGGAGGCTGCGAAAAGATAGTGCTTGTCTCTGGATCGTTTTGAAGTAATTTAAAGTTTTTAAGAATGATGGATTTAACTGAGTGGTTGTGAGGGTGAAACGTGAGAGTGAATGGAATGCGGTTGGAATCTTCCTTTTGTGACGTTTGTAGTGCTCATTGTCGATCAATGAGTTGGGGGCGGTGGTAACCCGCTTGAACGACAGAATCAGGGTAACCACGTTTATCGAAAAACTGGCACATTGACTCTGATTTGTGGTGGAATCAGAGTCATCACTACATAAACGACGAAGTCTTAGAAATTGAGAAAAAGGAATGGAATTCTTAACGTGAGATGGATGCGAACACGAATACAACAAGTAATTATCGGTGCCTCTAATCGTGTTCAAGTCGAAACGAATCGTTATGTCGACTGTGCGCCCTCCTGTACCAAAAATCACGACCTCACACGTATCAACAAGCTGCAAATCCCGACGATAAAGATCTCTTGACTGGGTATTGTCTACGAATTCGCCGAATCGTCGCACAAATGAATGCTCAAACACCAGAGCGCGTGGTTTAGCTAAGGCGGCCATCATTGATCCCAGGTAGCGATGAATGAAAGTAAAACTTCGCTTGTAGCAAAATATCACTAAACGATACTTAACTTTTTCTCAGCTTCTCTTCTTTTTTCCAAATGCTGGATGTTGGATAAATTATAACCTTGCACGTTCGATTGTACGTCCAAAGACCGCGAAAACGTTTTCCTACTGAAGCTGGAGAAAAAGAGGCCTGAACTCTGGCCTGCTTTGATTAAAGACTCAGAACTAAGAGTCCCGTATGTAAACTGACCACTACTAGTCAAACATCACCTCACGTAGCGAGCCGCATAAATTCATTTATTCTCTGTAGGAATAAATTTCTTTTTTGGCAATCAGATTTCATAGCTGTGGGCCTAATGTGCGCTCCGTTATAAAGCTATAACCGAGAAGTGGGGCGAGGAATTTTCGCTCGCAGGGGAACGATGTGACTTTCGAAATTTGAAATTTCCGCGCCGTCCTAAACCCTCACGAGTGAATTCCGGACTTCGTTCGTGAGCAGATTTAAAGACCCATTTTCAACCGAGATGCCTTGCGCGCCCAGATTATTTTTCATATATGAAAAATACGCTATTTTCCTCGAAGTTGCGGAATCGCTTTGATATGTTCTTCCATCTTACTAATTAGGGCTTTTAAAGTTTCATCTTGAAGCATGTGCGAACAACAAACTATCGTAGTATCCATATCAGTAAATAGTTTTTAATTCTTACATGTATGACGGTGAAAAACGTCATTTGAAAAGTTGATGCCGCCGAAGAAGCGGTCTAGAGGAAGGCCGGGTCTTCCCGGCTCGGCAAAAGTTATTCGACTTCGAGAGTCTGTGTATGATTTATGGAGGGCAAAGAAAACAACAATGGGTTTCGGTAACACTACAAACAGTGCTTTTGCAGAACTGTTATTGCATTGTTCCTACGATGGAACTAGAGACTCCGGAGAGATTTTTTCGAGGTGGGAATAATTATTTGACTGATTTTTACTTGAGATCCTGAGATATGTCTGTAAGCGATCTCATTTGTACAAGTCATTTTTCTATAATTGAAATGCGTAAAGTAAATCAGTTTTGGCCAATATTGGTTGTTTGTTTATATTTTATTTAGTGTTGAAGCCGAACAATTTCCTTCAACATCAAGTAAGCTTTGTACAAGTTTTATACACAGACTCGATTTATGATTTTTCAGTCTCAAATATTTAGCTGCAAATTTGTTTACTGTGTTCTTCACCAAATCTTTGTTTGTTATTTTTAATAGTGTTTGTGAATGACTATCAGAGTTCGCCATTTAACAATAGCGCGATTCCAAAACAAAAACAAACGACTGCAAAGGATCTTGGATGAAAATAGGCCTTTAAACAAACAACAAACTTCGAAGCCATTTTATAACTGAATTTACTATATTTTGTTCCTGCAAAATATTGATAAAAAGCAAGTGCTCCCCGTGTTGATTTATATACAATTATGGATCCCGGCAATCTGATATATAAAGTCCACTTTAAGGGCTACTCTGAGCTGTTACTCCATCACAAATTAACAAATGGTAAACACCACAGCGTACACTATTGAGTTATGGATGCACGCGGGAGGTTGCTAAGCACGAAAGAAGCGAAAGAGTCGCGCGAGGCGATAGCCGAGAGCGACTCTAGCTTCTTGAGTGTTTAGCAAACCTCCCAAGTGCATCCATAACTCAATAGTGTACGCTGTGGTGTTTACCATTTGTTTTATAACATAACATCGATACATTGTAGCTAAAAAGTTCCCTTTTATTTAACAAATCTTACGTCACCAGAAAAAAACAAGTGCGCGCGGAAAAATAGTCTTTGCATTTGCTCACGTCAGCAGCGTACACCCATGGACAAATGGGGGACGCTAAATTGACCAATCAGAGCGCGCGCTTTACTTTGGTTATGTTATAAAGAAATATGTTATTAGGGCTAAATTAAATATCGTTCCCAGGTTTTCTTTGTAGTTTCAAAAAGTCGCTTTCTTAGATATCGCCCTTTGTCTAGCCAATTTCTTGTTACATTCTTGTTAAATTCTTCGGCTGGGACCTTATTTCTGGTTGTGATTACTTGCAGAAAAAACTTTTTTCAGTCTTCTGATCAGCATTAAAAGGAATTTTGTAAGCGTTCAGAAATTCCTTTACGCAAACAAACAAACAAACAAACAAACAAAAACAAACACTCATGCAATTCAAAACAAAATGAAAAAAAGCGAAGCAAGCGAGCGATAACAAAGAGAAATAATAAAATGACATTTCCGTCCGGCCTCCAAAAGAGAATCTTATTCTTTCAAGTCTGCAAGACTAAAAGTTCGTTGCATGTTCTTTTCGTTCCACGACATCGTTTTCAGCAACAGAGCAGTCTGTGAAATTCCTTTCGGAACTCGCCATTCGTGAAAGTGTAAATGATTGGATTTACTGTAGTACTAAAAAAAAAGAGAAAGATAGTAAGCAAAGTTGCAGTTCTTGGGCAGGTCTCAGGGGAAAAACGAAACCAGAGGACCATTGCCCACATCGGTATCCAGCAACACAAAAATCCCGCGGCCACATAAAACAACATTCGAGTAATGTTTAGTTCTTTCACTGAGTTTTGTGCTGCACCATTTTCATTCCTGTTCTGTAGCGATGCGTCTGCATTCTGCTGATGCTCATGGGTTTTGAGAAATATTTTATAATAACTAAAGATACCGATGCACAAAGGTAAAACAAAATAAAATCCAACAGCTATACAATAATGAATGATTTGAATTTCACTGCTTGGATAAGTAAAGGCGCACAAAGCGAAACGTTGAATAAAATCAATTTTGATCCAATTTGTGACTCGCAAAGTAAAAAGGTAAAGGGCAAGGGAAAGCCACAAGCAGCTCAGCCAAATCTTAGATCTGCGAGGTGAAAAAATCTTCTTGTAGTGATTTGTCTTTACGATTTTCACGTAACGGTTGAACGCTGTCAAACCAAGGGTTCCGGGGGTCATATAAAAGGCGAATTCGGCGACAAAGCCTTGAATTTGGCATAACGCGTCGCCGAAGTCCCACTTTCCAACGATCAGCGTTAAAGAAGTTAAAGGTATCTCGATCGTTGCAACCAGTAGATCGCTGACTGCTAAGGCAATGATATACAGGTTGGTAGTGGATCGCAAGTTTAGGTTTCTGTACGCTGCTGTACAAACCAAACTGTTTCCAATAATGCTCGTAATATTCAGAGCAACGCATACACTTGCTTCAATTATAACAGCAGCTGAGCTTCGACTTGGTAGTTGTAAGTTTGACATCTTGTCTACCAAAAAATACAACAGATGAATATGTAAATAAATAAACACGTACTTGAAGTAGTAACTCGATAGACACATTCAATAATAACCAGACAAATAATCGAAAAGAGAAGACAAAGAACAGTCGCTAATTCCATAGCATGCGCCTTCCTACCCTCATTGCTCATTGTCTGTTTTTTTTTTTTTTTTTCGTTCAATTTGTATTTATCTATTCATCGTTTAGGTAAGGTTAAGGTAAGGTAACCTTTATTTTACCAGGGTGGCTCAATCAGCCATAAGGCTGGAGAGGCTCTTGACTAAAAAGTATAATGATTCAGAAATACTATAAAAAGTATTTTAAAAATAAAGGATATTAATAACTTTCTTACAGGGTCTTCAGGTTGTTCATAATTTTCCGACAATGAAGCTCAGAATCGAACGGGGCGTTTTCATCGCAAAATTATCTTATTGAAGAACTGTGTACAGCTCTTCAATAAGAAATTATGGATCGATTTATGACCTGGATAAATTCGTCATTTGTTACGTAATGGCAGATAAATTGGATTGGATCCGTGGAAGCATTGAAAAATGATTACGCTCCTCATCAAGTAGCAAAATAGTTTAAGGTTGAAAGTAATTTGACAGTAAATTAATGTCACAGCATATCTTATACACTCTCACAAGATGCAAGGCGATTGTGAGGGTCAAGTTTCGCATGATCTGGAAATCGCTATGTATTAATGATATGTGAGTAATGTGCTAGTTTTCTCTTTTGATTAGTTTTCTTGTTTTGGGTGGAAGCACGCTAACGTACACAGTCGTACAATAGTACTATTTATTGTTTTCAATCTAAAGGGGGCGAATCTAGGAATGAGACGCTAAGCTAGGAACGCCCACTTTGTTAATCTCACAATCGATTTAAATCTCGAGTTATTTCGATGTAGCTTATTATGATTTTCGAGTATTCCTGTTGATTGTCGTTAATTTTGATCGCGTTATCGACGGAGGCAGGTTAATTGCTCTAAGCGTTTTTGTTCATGAGTTACGCAACGTTTTAAGTAAATTGATTGTTACTTCAGTTTACGATCGTGATCGTGATTGTTCATCGTGGTTCGTTAATCGTTTATCATCATTAAATCACCGTTAACGGTCAACCTTGGTTTGCCGTGGTTATTGGTACTTGAAGCACACGACCTGTAAGATAGTCCCGTAGCATTAACACGCCTAAGCGACACCCCTCGACTTCGATCTCGTTTGTCGCAAGCGTCAAAAGTGCCATTTAAGGCGGAATTCAAGAGTTAGGAAATGGATTTCCTTCAAGCGCATAATTTAATAAAAAAGAAACAAAAAAAAAACAAAAAAACAATAATATCCTGAGCGCAAAACAAGAGATGCAAAAAAACATCATCACTTAGCCTCGTTATAAACTCGCAATTCCACGCTAAAGTTGCGTAGTACGCATTAGATGTAAGAGAGACTGCCTCTGCCGTGAATGAAATGAAACGAAACGAAAACAAAGAAAGAGAAGCGAGAAAGTGAGAACGTGATCCTAGAAGTCTTCCATTTTGTTTTTTTATGTCATTTATGTAAAATATAAGCCAGTTATTTCACCTCAACTAAGTTTTAACAGAGTCGATTTATTTGAAAATTTTAACCAGGTTTCTAGAGAATAAACCCGGCTAACTCTCTTAGTGCGGCTGCAGCCATTATCATTTAAATCTGTCTGTCAATAAGTTCCTACTGACAATTCATTTTTTCGTATTCTAGTTTTTTTCCTGTTCAGGGAGACCGGCGTTCATTTGCTTTTATCTTTACTTTTAAGAAACTTTTTTCGCAACTGAAAATTTCGCATTAAATCGAAATAGATCCTAAGAAATCTGTAACAAAATATGTAGACGTATAACGATATATGCCGACTTTTGACAAAGCGGAAAGGCGAGAAAAACATAAAATAGAGTTTACACAAAACTGTTACCATTTATTGTCTTTGGGTCATTTTGAAATATCGTGTCAAAATATAACAATTTATTTCTGAAACTCTATCTTGTTGTCAGTCGAACCATAATTTCAGCGTGAACAGATGCTTATATGGAGGTCGTCTTAATCAGCTTCGTAAATACTTAGAAAAAATTAAAGTTGAAAGCAACCTCTTTTACAAATTGCCCTCTAACCTTACCTTAAAAATTTTTCTTGAAGAGACCTTTATAATTTTCCAATGGTGATACTGAGAATTGAGCAAGGTGTCACAAAGCCGGTCAATGAGAAAATTTTAAACTGCCTGCTGAATACTTGTCTCTCCCAATATATGCAAAAATCGACTCTTCTATTTCTTTTTTATTTTGTGTTCGTACAGAGTAACAGGCGGCGATAAAGAAAGCTATTTGTAATAAGTCTGAAACAAGCAGCGTTTTCAAGGAATTGTCTGCCATGAACTAAAACGGTTTTTCATACATAGAAGCCACCTAGAAATTGTAATCAACATAACTGTGGAGTTCATGATGAAACTGTTTGATGTCGATAATCTAAGCTTATATCCAAACGATTTTGCCAAGCATTAACAGTTATAGCATTTACAGTAAATTTTCATTTGGGTTAGTGAAAACTAAGTCAATGAAAGATGCCTCTGTTCGAGACTTGCCAACTTTTTGGGAATTTTGGTCCACTATTGCAGTAAAAAAGGAGGGAACCTGAACTGAAACAAAACTCCGACGGCTTAATGCTTGACCACGATATCCGGAAAAAAAAATATTTTGCTAAGTGTATAGCAGTTTAGGGTATTCGAAATACTTCGTAGTTTTTCTAAAAGCAACCTCAGGAAATTAAATTATGCTTGCTTTCGACATCGAATTCGTATCGGCAACTTCCATTTGCTATATATTTCGCCTATCGTCCTGTATTACAATCTAGCAGATGGCAACTTGGTTTGAACACCGCCTAATGCTTGAACGGGGAAGAATCAAAAAAGGCAGAAAACTAACTCTTATTGAGGATGCCGATGTTTGCGTTGCTCATTTCCTCCGCTATTCTTTATCGAGCACATTAAGAAACGGTAGTGTTCTTGTATTGTGTCATTAGGATTCATGGATCAATTTCGAGCAATTTTTTTTCGGAAAAAGAGTTAGTCCAAGACCCAAACTCATATGTAGAAAAAAATAGTTAGAAGCAGCAACATGCATTCTCAAATAGCGTCTTAGCAAGTGGCTATAAAAATGTCTGTAGGTAAGGCAGTAAATCGTGATATCGGCATTTCCCTAAAAACGCGCGTGAACCTGTCGAAATAATTGAACTCTAGCGATCACTTAGATCTAATTCTAGTGGCGCTAATTTAACGAACATTAACTGCAAATAAGGAATACAGAGGCAAAGTACTTATTAAAATTTTGCCAAAAGTGCTTATACAGCGAAGATTGTATCATAATTTAAAGTTTATCGAAGTAATCCTAGACCAGAATTAGAAGATAAATTCGTAAGACACTGGATATTTCCTCTCACGTTGTCAAAATAAGCTTTAAAAGAATCATCGATAAACGGAAAGAGGGAGCACAACAATGGAAAATGAACAACTCAGAATCGAAATAAAAGATTAATTATACACAGCACATCATCAATTGAACAACTGAATTATGCAAGGATGAAGCATATTCCAGTGATCCCAACGATACCAGAACAAAATAATAATAATAATAATAATAGTAATAGTACCTTTCTCAATTTTTCCGTCTGCAGGCCAGTAAATCGATTCTTTTCAAGCAAATTGGAGAGTCGCGAAACATAAAAAATTCGTTTCGTGACGACAAGAACAAGAAAGGGGAAAAAGATGACGAGTATTTTGCATATAAATATATATATTCAGACTCTAATTACCATTTCCCTTGAATTCTTACTATTTTTCTTTGAAGCAAGTTAATAAGGGGGCTGGAACAGTGTGGGCTTGCTACCCTCTGGTGTAGTTTTGATCCAAAGAAAAATTACCATTCAACTACCCGACACTCGCTTATAAAAATTACGTTGCATCCACTCAAGCTAAAAGAATAAAAAGGATAAAGGAAACGAAAAAAAAAATTTAGAAATTGTAAATTTTCCACTTTTCCTTTAAAAATTTGCTGTACCTTGCTGATCTCTTTAAACAGGTGACCCTGTATTTCAAGGCCTCAAATTGCCAGATACGTAGATAAAATGAAACAGTTTTCACTTCGTTTTATTCTAATGTATTCGCTAAAGCTTAGAACTTGATCTGTAATAAGGCTCGCTGCCACACTTTATTTGCGAAGAAAGCGAATTCAAGGTAGAAAAGTAAATACAAGCTAGAACTCATTTGACTTGATCAAACAAAGGTAAGAGTTTTTCTCCAAAACCAGAATGGGATATTAAGTAATTTGAGCAATCTATACCCCCGTTTCTTGTAAAAGCCGCTGCAAAGATATTACTTAATTGAACGTTTTTCAATTTGTAACTTAAAGGTTTTTCACCTGCCTTCGAAGCAGCCTTGGATGTGCTCGCATTGTGGCTTTCCAAATAACTGGAACTTTACTCGTTTCTCCCTAAAACTAGACGCCTTTAATCACTAATTACTCTTCCTCTCTTACTTTGCTATTCTAAGTCAGTTAACGACGTCTCTTGCTTACATTTAGTTATAGATTTTAGTTAAAGACTTTGCTGCTGCTTTTACAGTTAAAAGAAACCTTTTATCATGAAAAAGCTGATTTCTTTTTCTCTCACTCCCGAAGAGTTTTCACGTATGAAAAGTGTTTTGGTTTGAGTAAAGGTGAAATTCCTCGAAATGCATTATCAGTGATGTTGCTTGTAAAACGGCTAACCTTCTATTTACGAGTTTCAATAAAACTTCTCAGCCCTAGAAAAACCGTGTTCAAAACAGGCATTACATAATATATCTCAAACATTCCCTGGTTCGTTCAAAATGTATTCATGCAAAGACAACATATCAGACTCTGATAGCGTGGAAGCTCCAAGTGCAAATGTTATGCTTGAGGCTGCTATGCGCTTCTAGAGATTTTGCTGGGGGTATGGCATCATTATTATGATTTTTACAATTATTATAATTTCTTTACAAAATTTTTTTCTTAGTTCCAATTACAAAAAATCCCAAACAAACAAAGTTACAAAAGTTAAGCCGAAATAGATGTTGCCTAAGAAGTTAGTTCGTTACCAAATGGCTTACAAAAAGGATATTTCGATGTCGTTGTCATTGCATTGAAACATAGCTCTCAATGGAAAAATAAAATTACTTTTTACTCATAAACCTTATGTTTTCTTTAAGCAAACTAATTCCATTGTTCTTATACCTTCCGCAAGCTTTCTTTATCCTACAGTGCTCGAATCCAATTAAAGACCTCATTCTGAACTTAAGTGGACTCTTAAAATGATTTTGAACTTGTCATTCTTGAGTGCTCACACGGAAACTTTAGACGCATTATGGTTTATTTTTGGGTATAAAGTTGA